TTTCAGGCAGACTAAACGCTTCTCAGGCATAATACTGCCATCTACTGTTCAGTACCGTCTCAGTTCATCTCTCTCAACTTGCCGTAGTTATTTTCGAGCGTCATGGGAGATCTCGCAATCGCTAGTTTGTTGCCTCTGCGCTTGCCGTAGCGCAAAGATGTCAGCCTCCATGGCTGCGAGACCCGCTCCTATGTAATTATAAATAACGAATTCTAAGGCAACGCAAATGTTATGGTTAAAAGGCTGAGCTCATAGGTGATGATAAATAACATAGTTATGTATAATATATTAAATTTCTGAATTTATATGCCTGTAATTATTACACACTGTAGCTTTAAATATCATTTAAATAAAATTAATGTTGACCGATTGTTACTGGTTTTGTGAAAGCAAGGGGTGGCAGAAGTGAGGGGTTTCTCAAAAGAGGAGGGGGACGATATTCTTAAATAAGTTTATTATAAATAAGTTTATTATAAATATAAAAATAAATAAATAAATGTTTCAAGACTTATAAATAAAATATTTTCATGTACCCCTTGCAATGCACTCGCAGACCACTAAGGGTACACGTACCCCTGGTTGGGAATCCCTGGTTTAGGGGATGAGTGAAGGGAAGTTGGAGCAGGACAGAAAGAGTTTTTTTCAGAACCGGTATGTGATATGGGTCAGAATCACTGTAAAATCACAGAAGATCTTTTGTCCTGGCTGCCATGAGACTGTTTTATATCTCTTGAAGGACTGAGTTTTTTATTATTATTTTTATTTTTTTATCTAATTTTGTATTTTTGTCCTATTTTATATGTTTTTAGCTTTGCTATTGTGTAGGTGAATTTCTCCTAATGGGGATTAAAAAAGCAAATGCTTGAATCATCAATCAGTCATTCAGCTTTTCAGAATGCCAGTCATCAGATGTGTTCAGCAATGGATGCATCTGAAACTGCAGCCTGGTAGCTGTAAAGCAATGGACTTTAGCAGCCCCATCAGAAATGAGTGGACTAATTTGGTACAAGGTGTCTGAACAAAGAAAATTTTTCAAAGGAAATGTTTAGTTGCTGAACTCAGAGATGATTAAAAATAAGTAAAAGAATTGAGAAAACCTTAAAGTTCTCTGGAAAATGGTCCATCAAAAACATTATCTAAGCTAAATCTACCTAACTGGAGGTGAACTGTACTGTAAATAACCAATAGATGCCAGAAGGCTTTTGAACAGTGGTAAAACAAACAATATTTTTTAATGATATATGGCTCTGTGTAAGAATCCAGCAGCTCCAAATCTTTACTAAGAACTTTTGAAGTTTCTTCAGCTCAGCCCTCTGGGCTTTGGAGGCTGCAGAAAAAGTTGCATCACCTTCTTTTCTCTTTTCTAAAAAGTCAGATTCATCTCTGCCCTGGAGTCCAGTTCCATCCTCAGATATTGGGTTCTTTGAGAGGGCTCACTTCTCTGCATAGTTACTAGAAAATGCATATAGAATTACTTACACAACTTTGTGCAAAATCCAGACAGCTTGTTATTGACCACAACTGCAAGAACTGTCAGAATTCCAGAAAATAATGTTTTAATTTCAGACATTTTGCACTGAAAATGAATGAAGTCACTGTCAGGGATATTGAAGCTCTAATAATGACACACTTTATCAGCATCAAACAGAAGAAGAAAGCAGCACAAATAGGAACGTGAATTGAATTAAAATTGATCAGCCTTCTAATAGCACAACCAAACCAATGCTTATGTTGTTTGATGGCTGCTTAAATAGGCAATTATTTGCTCACACATGTAATTTAATGAGACAAATATGAATAATAAATCAGATTGGTGTGTCATCCAACAGCTAGTAACAGTAAACACACTACACAGAAGGAAAAACCTGGAGATGCTAAAGAAATCTCATTACAACACTAAAGCCTCAATAAATTATTCAAGATGTTGATTGTGTGTTTTGAAGCACGATCGATCATCTTCCTCTTGGTCGTCCAAAAAGCTATTAGGAACACATGAGTGAGCCACGTTGCTTGCTCGCTTCGTTACTGCTGTCAACAAGCGACTACTAAAAGTGTGAAATCATCTGCTGCTGAAAATAACCACACAGCTTTTTTTCTGTTATCCAGCTTTTCTTAGTGAGACGCAGCAAAGATGAGAGTGGGGTCAGTCCAGAACTTCAGAGGTTCAACAGCCTCAGAGAATAAAGCTTAAACTGCATCTAAAAATATGGCTCTTTCTATAGATTTGACAAATTTTTGATAAAACCAAACTGGAGCATTCAGACTCCTAGTTTTATTGTCTTCACATCTTTCTGTCTCGCATGACTGTATTTACATTTGTTGTGTAACTCCAGACCTTCCCTGTTCTTCATCAGCACAAAATAAAGCTGTTCACTGGGGATCTATCCAGGCTGCACAGTGGGTAGCACTGCTGCCGTGCAGCAAGAATGTTCCTTGTTCTATTCCCGGCCCGAGGTCTTTCTGCATGGAGTTTGCCTAATTTCCCTGTGCATGCGTGGGTCCTCTCCGGGTACTCAGGCTTCCTCCCACAGTCCAAAAAAACATGACTGTTAGGGTCATTGGCTTCTATAAATTCTCCTTAGGTGTAATGGCTGTTTGTCCTGTGTGTCTGCTTTGCCCTAAGTTAAACTAGTGTCGTGGGAACAAAGTATTCAACTATTCACCCTTTTTAAATAAACCGAGATCGATGGATTTCACTCAGTCGGCACATTTATTTATATCTTTGCAAAGAGAGAACAGTTCATCTCATAGCCCTAATGGCACAGCATTCTTCCCTGTTCTGCCTGAGCATCGTTCGTTCCCCCTTACTTACAACAATGAAAAGCATTCAGAGTCAAAACAAATTACAGACACTTTGGTTAAAAGTAACATGTTATGAATAAACCTTGAGAAAGAATCTGGTTTGTTATGGGAAGAAGCTATGTCTGGTCTACAAACACCATCCTGCAGATAATTGTGTGGCCTTGAGACAGAAACAGACTGAGTGAAAACTTTTATAGTGAGTAAATTGGATAAATTAACATATAATAGAAGAGAAATCTAAATTTTCCGACAACACTGGTGACCTATCCAGGGGGCACACTGCCACTGACCCATTGACAGCTGGCGATAGGCACCAGCACCCCTCGCTACCCCAGCAGGGATCACATGAATGAAAATGGATGGATGGGGTCTATCCTCTGCAACTTTATAGCGATTCTTACCCCAGCAATTTCTTTTGATGAAATGGAAATATTGCAGACCTTCCTTTTCTTAGAAAACAATTGAGTCCCGTTGGGTCTACAAGTTTCCCACTGAGGCTTTTAACATCCTATCCTTCTTTACTCCACCAGGATAAAAGGATAAAGGGAACTCTTACATTTCACCTCTCTGTCCCCATATGGAACCCAGTAGAATCGTCTTTTTGTACAAAAATATTACTATCCCTGCTCACAATTTTCATTGAAACCCTAGCAGCTGCCATTCATCAGAACCCCCTCAACACAGGAATTCATATCCACAACATGCACCATAAAATCAGCCTCTATGACAATGATGTTTTACCATTTATTCGGAATCTACCATTATCACAAAATCAGTCATCAAATAATTCTCCAGTTTCTCTGATGTGAATAAACTGGAACAAATCCTCCATACTCCCATTAAACACCAACAGTCTAGAGGTGGCAGCCCTTACAGTACCCTTCCCCTTCTGTACGAATCAAATCACTCTCTTAGGTGTCCAAATTTCCCCAGGCTGTCCGAATGCATGGATGGATGGATGGATGGATGGATGGATGGATGGATGGATGGATGGATGGATGGATTATCATTAACTCTGATGATTCTCTAACATGCATAAGTCAAGTGGATCCATACATTTACATTTCTTGAGAAATTTTTAAGAAACACTAATTTCCCATACCAGCAGTGTGAGGTATAATTAACAATGACCTGCAACTCTTATTTAGTTTGAATAAATGCAGGAAGACATACCTGACACTAAGGAGGCTTGTTAGGATGATCTAGCTCATCAGCAGATTGAAAAACATGGCCTGTGTACATTAAGTTATCTGTTTCTTAGTACACCCACGGACAGGAGCTCTCTGAGGTAACCTATTCACTTAGACTGAGGTTGCTGGTTTGTGAGGTTTCAAACCCTGAAACATGAAGCTTTGTGAGTTTGCCACTCTTTGTGGGCAGCCATCAGATCTCAGGGAAAACTCACGGCAGGCTTACTCAGACTGACTGGCAAACATAAGCATTAGGTGCAAGCCGACTAAATTAAGATAATCAGAGAGCTATTAAATATAGTACTCTTTACACGTGCTCCTTTCACTTTGGAATAAATGGGAATTGATTAAAGACCACTCCTAAGTCAAAGTGAATGACTTGATTCCCCCAAGTGTTTCTCATCTCATTCTGTTCTTCATTTTTACTCATCTTCTTCTTTTAGAGGTTTTTCCCACCAAACTGCCTTTTGTTTTAACAAAGCTGTTTTTAAATGTTTAGTTCGTTGCTTGATCGTTTTCACCCTCCAATCCTTCATCCTTTCTTACACCAACTTTTTACATCCTTTATATTGTTTAAGTTCTGTTCCTCTCCTTGATGAATGTTAATAGTTCGTATCCTCCCTACCTTTTCCCTCTTTCACCAACCCAATTCTTGATCCGATATCTTTCTCCGGCTTTTATTTTTGCCATACCTTTTGTCTTCTTCTCCCACAAATTCCAGTCATTTCATTTCAGTTTTTTCTCTCATCTTCCCATCCAGTCTTTATTGAACCTTCATTCCTTGCCCTTCTCTCCTCTTCTTCCCATCCTCCCACACTTTCTTCTCTCATCTTTTTTTCGTTCACCATATTCCACCTCATCCCTCTTTCCCACCACTCTCTAAATCCCTCTTGTCTGCTTCTTCTCTCTCTGAAACATCTGGTGCTCGCTCCCTCTCTTCTTCCCTCTTTCCTTTCATCTCCCCCCCCCTCCTCCTCCTCCTCCTCCTCCTCCTCTCAGTACCAGCAGTACAAAATCCGTGACAGCGGAGGCAGCAGCAGCAGTTTCACTCTGCTCAGAAACAACTTGAACTAAAGTGAGGACCTCGTCTTTTTTTGCCTTTCACTCTTTTAAAATCAAATTTGTGTTTTGTTTTTGTATTTTCTCATTGTTTTTAATAATTTCTTTTCTATTTCATCGCTGATTGATCTCTCGGAGTGCAGCAGTATGAAGGTATCATGCATCCTAAATAGGGTTTCTGTCCTTGCTCCAAGTAGAGCATGCAACCATATGCTCTGCTTTTTTTCCTGTCCGTTTTTTTTTTCTCATTGGAGATACCTGGCTTATGTCTACTGCACTTTGTACTCCAATTTGTACAGGTAATTTCTTAAGGTATGACATTTTTGAAAAACCTGTCTTCACTGCACATTTTTTTTTTAAATCACTGGCAGAATGTTTTTTAACCTGAAGATTGGCATCAAGCAGCTCATTTCAAGGTGTCCCATATTGATGTATTGACAGAAGCTGTAGTGCAAAGACAGAAGGAGTACCACTTGGATTTTCATTCTGAGATGGAGAGCACATTTTGAAATCAAATGTCTAAAAGCAACAGGATACTACTTAGTGCACATTTTTTTACAGGTTAAAAATAATTTTTCTTTGTAATTCCTTTTGTCATTTTTTTAACTCCTTCAAATGAACTGGAGGTTAAATATACGTGGATTGTAAAGCCAGGATGGACATTTCAGACAATTCCACTCCTGTCGGGGCCACATTTCCATCCACCTTACAACCTAATTCATCTGCAGATGGCGTCAACCAGACCTCCTCTTCGCTGGCCAAATCCCCTCCTCTTCCTCCTCACTCGCAAGTGGCGTCGGTGTGCATTGTGTTGGTAGTTGCAGTTATCATCTTGGGAACTGTGGTGGGAAACGTGCTGGTGGTGGTGGCTGTTTTCACCAGCCGAGCCCTTAGGGCCCCTCAGAACCTCTTCCTGGTGTCTCTGGCTTCGGCGGACATCCTGGTGGCAACCCTGGTCATCCCCTTTTCACTGGCCAATGAGGTGAGGTCTTATAGATTGCTCTGCTGAAAAAGTGACCTTTAAAAATGGGAATATGTTATCACTGTATATTAACGAAATTAATTTTATATGATTTGTGGTTTAACTGGAAGAAAATCAATAAATGATTTGTAGAGAAAGGTTGTATTTTATAGTTTGTGTCCCTATAGAGTTGTCCCGTATTTTCATGTTCTTATGTTCCTCTGACCACCTGTCCCTGCTGAAAGGTTGCATCATGATACTGCCACCACCCTGTTTTATCCTTGGGAATATTGTGTTCAGGAAGGTGTCCAGTAGTAGTTTTCCTCTTACAGTACAGTATGTTAACTAAAAACTCAGACTTGGGCTATTTGACCATAGCAGCATCTTCTAAATGATTGCTATGCTTCCTATAGATAAATTCAAGCTGCCAACAGGAATTTCTGTGGATTTCTTTTAAAAATCTCTTTCCTATTGCTACCCTTCTTAGGCAGGTCATGTTTTTACTCTTGTTTTGCTTATGTTTTTAACAGCTGCATTTATACTGCTATGCAAAAAGTACTCTTGGGTGAAGTATTTAGCTAATTTTAAAGGCAATAGGTTGGGTTCTATTTTGGTGGTGATCCAAGTATCACTTGGCATATCTCAATGATTTTTCTAATTTTTACTCATAAATGAAATATTTTTGTATCCTCTCCTTTTCCACTTCACAAATGTGCACCAGTTTTTTTGTTTCTCATTAAAACACAATAGACTTTGAATTTAAATGTTCAAATAATCAATTAAGTTCTAATCCAGTTCTCCAGGGAGACTGTCCAAGACTTGGATGGATGGATGGATCGCTTCTCCAACACACCTAAATCAGATGGCTGTATTTGCTCATCAGCTGTTGTTCAGCGCTGCAAAGAAATGGAATCAAAGCATTAATTTGATTCATGTTTCCACCCAAAAATCGCAGTGGTAGCTTTCCAGGACTGAATTCCCCCCCACAGACTTAATCTTAATGACCAAGCAAATATTTTCTTGCAAAAGGGTAGGGTTATGAAAAACATCAAATTCTTCGATGTTCCACCGGAGCCCCATTAAATCCATCATCTTTAAATAAAAATTTGTTACCACAACAGTCCTGCCAAGAGGAGGCATCACAGAAAGGAAAGCTAAACCTGAAGAAGTTAAGAAGCTCAACAGAGACTAGAGTTATAGCCGTAAACTCAAAAAATAAAGCAATTATTTAGTTTTTACTAAATTCACTTATTTAGCACAAACCCAACAAATCCCAAGAACTTACAGGTGCTGGTCATAAAATTAGAATATCATGAAAAAGTAGATTGATTTCAGTAATTCCATTTAAAAAGTGAAACTTGTATATTATATTCATACATTACATACAAACTCATATATTTCAGATGTTTATTTTGTTTAATTTTGATGATTACAAATGACAACAAATGAAAATCTCAAATTCATGATATCAGAAAATTAGAATATTGTGAAAAGGTTCAAAATTGATGGCCCCTGGTGCCACACTCTAATCAGCTAATTAACTCAAACCACCTGCAAAAGCCTTTAAATGGTCTTTCAGTCTAGTTCTATAGGCTACACAATCATAGGGAAGACTGCTGACTTGACAGTTGTCCAAAAGACGACCATCGACACCTTGCACAAGGAGGGCAAGACACAAAAGGTCATCGCTAAAGAGGCTGGCTGTTCACAGAGCTCAGTGTCCAAGCACATTAATAGAGAGGCGAAGGGAAGGAAAAGATGTGGTCGAAAAAAGTGTACAAGCAAGAGAGATAACCACACCCTGGAGAGGATTGTGAAACAAAACCCATTCAAAAATGTGGGGGAGATTCACAAAGAGTGGACTGCAGCTGGAGTGAGTGCTTCAAGAACCACCACACACAGACGTATGAAAGACATGGGTTTCTGCTGTCGCATTCCTTGTGTCAAGCCACTCTTGAACCACAGACAGCGTCAGAAGCGTCTTGCCTGGGCTAAAGAGAAACAGGACTGGACTGCTGGTGAGTGGTCCAAAGTCATGCTCTCTGATGAAAGTAAATTTTGCATTTCCTTTGGAAATCAAGGTCCCAGAGTCTGGAGGAAAAGAAGAGAGGCACTTCATCCACGTTGCTTGAAGTCCAGTGTAAAGTTTCCACAGTCAGTGATGGTTTGGGGTGCCATGTCATCTGCTGGTGTTGGTCCATTGTGTTTTCTGAGGTCCAGGGTCAACGCAGCCACATACCAGGAAGTTTTAGAGCACTTCATGCTTCCTGCAGCTGACCAACTTTTTGGAGATGCAGATTTCATTTTCCAACAGGACTTGGCACCTGCACACAGTGCCAAAGCTACCAGTACCTGGTTGAAGGACCATGGTATCCCTGTTCTTAATTGGCCAGCAAACTCTCCTGACCTTAACCCCATAGAAAATCTATGGGGTATTGTGAAGAAGAAGATGCAATACACCAGACCCAACAATTCAGAAGAGCTAAAAGCCACTATTAGAGCAACCTGGGCTATCATAACACCTGAGCAGTGCCACAGACTGATCGACTCCATGCCACGCCGCATTGCTGCAGTAATACAGGCCAAAGGAGGCCCAACTAAATACTGAGTGCTGTACATGCTCATACTTTTCATGTTCATACTTTTCAGTTGGCCAACATTTCTATAAATCCTTTGTTTTTATTGGTCTTCAGTAATATTCTAATTTTCTGATATGATGAATTTGAGATTTTCATTTGTTGTCATTTGTAATCATCAAAATTAAACAAAATAAACATCTGAAATATATGAGTTTGTATGTAATGTATGAATATAATATACAAGTTTCACTCTTTAAATGGAATTACTGAAATCAATCTACTTTTTCGTGATATTCTAATTTTATGACCAGCACCTGTATAAACATGGTGGTGGCAGCATTATGTAATGGGGATGTTTGTTAGCAGCATCGGGCTGGGAAACTAGTCCAAGCAGAGGGAAAGATGGAGGGTGCTAAAAACAGGGATTTTCTTGAGTAAAGCCTGTGTCTGTGTCAGTCTGCATGTGGGTTGAAACCTGATTGTTTGTTTCACAATAAAAAAAAACAGATTGCAAATGTTGAAGGAAAGTTCTGTTAATGAAATGGTGCAAACTCTTAACAAATCCACTTTACCTCAAGGTTATGAGGCAACAAAACCTGAAAAAATGCAAAAGCATGCTTTTTTAAGACAAGGTAAAACAGTTTTGGAGTCTTGTGTTATATAACACATTTGCAGACACTCCGCCATTTGCTCTGAAGAACAGTAAAACTAAAAGCTCAGACTCTGCTGAAACGCAGGACAGGAGCTGCCTCATGAGACCTTTTTGTAACCATATTTACTGTAAACAAAATTATTTATAGCCTACTGGGTTAAGTTTCTTTATGATCCAGCAGCCATTTCTATGATTTCTTACATTGCTGTTTATGTCATTTATTTTCCTTCCATTGCACCTGATGATTTAGGGAAAAAAAAGGAAAAACGTTCTGCATGCCTAAGAGAAAATTGTTAAGGTAATTCTAGTAACAGGCTCTGATACTGTCTGGAGATTTGAGCACGTAATTAAATTTGCATTAGGATTTCCCTTTAGTGTGGGCACACACCCTGCAAGAAACAGTTGGATAGCCAGAGGAAACAAGCTGATTTAACTCCAATTTGGCATGCATGCAGATCAGTCATGGGTATGTAAAGCCTTCATCCTGGGTAAGTTTAGCACAGGCACCGAGAGGAAGAGGTGATTTCATCATGAGCTTAAGGATATCTTTATCAGAGAGTTGCTGGGGCAGCAAACGCAAAGGATAATTCATAATAAAAACTTAAGACTGTATAACCAGCTGTAAATGGAGTTTTAATAGTTGCATTTGGAGGTTGCAGTTCTCCAGTGTGTGGGCTGAATAACATAAAGGACCTGTGGGCTTAAACGTTTGTTAAAACAAACAATGAAAATAAAACATAAAATCAAATAAGGATCGATCAAAATGTGATTACTTATTACAATATGGAAAAATAAATTAGCTTGCATCAATGTACAATCATCTGCTGTTTCTGTTGGAATCAGGTGGAGAAATGTTTACAAGATGCATTAGTTTCTGCAACTGAAGAAACTCCCAGCACTCTGGATCAATGAGATTATTTCGATCCACCAGCTTCCACCGGTTTGTGCAAAAGATAACCAAAACAAATTTAACCCTAGGGCGTCAAAAAAAAGCATGTTTTATGAATAAAACATGATGACATACATACGAAGAGGCTCCCTGAAGTAATTGGAGAAATAAAAAATACATGAAAACAAAACCAGCTCATAATTTTAAGGTTTTACTTTGTAGACATGCAACAAATTCTTATCATTTCTAGTGTTAAAACATCACAGATACAGTTCATATTTAAGGGTTCCATGTAAATAATGGAAAGCTAGATGTTTCCTTTTAAAGATGTTGCAAAGGATATTTGTGAATTGCATGAGGCCATTTCTCCTCATGTACGCTCTGTTTAAAGGGTTGCTGTCCTCATAGCTCATTCGAGCTTACTGTGGTTGAACGTCCGCTCTAACCCCTAAATCCCTTAATCACTATAGAGAACAGGGACTATATAGAGGACTTTATAGCGAACTCAGTTAACTAACCGTTCAGACAGATGATCAATGCTTTTGATATATCTGCCTCTTCTGAGGCCTTTCTTTTCTTCCCATACACTTCATAGACACTTTTTCTCTCACGACCCACAGTCACTTTCAAAGAACCACGGTGAGAAAGGTGAGCATCAATGACCGTCTGAAACCATAGCTCACCACACATAAATGCCTGAAAGTGCGCATGCGCAGAAGATCGCTATCGGGACGAGCATGTAGGGCCACCTTACATAAACATATAAACCAGATTGATTGACAAGTAGGAGGACCAATTATTTTGATGATGCACCCAGAAATAAAAGATTGTCCTCTATACCTTCAAAATGATGAGTCCGAAGTAAACCTGCTTGTTTGCTCTACTGCCTCCTACCTAGCAA